AAAATTATCATCTGTATGATACACTGGAAAGAGATGTGAACAATGAAAATAGATATTGCTAGTTTTTTTCTGTTATGAATATCTTACTAAGGTGTATGTGTGCATTTGTGTGTGTGTGTGTGTGTGTGTGTGTGTGTGTGTGTGTGTGTGAATTAGTGATACTTGGGAGATGGAAGCCAATTCAAAGATATAAAAGAACATATGATTAAAAGAGCTGAAAACTCCTTAAACTCCACAATTAATTTGTGCATTTTAAGATTCAAGACCAAAATAGCAACCAAAAGAACAACCATTAACTGAGCTTGATTCTCTGTGGCATTATCCTTAGTTTTCTTGGTTAAAAAGAACTTAATACTTCTCTTGTTGATACAAATGGATTAATATGAGTGAGAAACTTTTGTTGTTGCTTTTTGCTTTGCTAAGGATAACTCCATGGAGAAAACAATTTGATCTCTCTTTTCAGAAACTTTTATCAATTTTTCCATTCAGTAATGCATCTGCACACACAGGTGTATTGGGTCACTTTGTGATGGACACAGATCAAGTGTTAATCTATTTTATGGAGGAAGAAAAGAGAAGGCAAAAGGTTGGGCTCAGGAAACTTGAAATCTCGCTGCAGTTTGCATGTGAAGGAGGAGACAGCCTGAGATGCTTCTGTGTATCCCGTGACAGCACGGCACAACTCTGAGCAATGATCAAGATGCTGCACCTGATAATACCAGGAGTCATTAACATCAGTTTTCCTGAGTGTCTGCCATATGCTCCGCTTCGCTTTGCTTTCTACGTTTCTCTCGAGTCATGACTGTATTTTCTGACTTGATCCTCATAGTAAATTTGTAGGATGCATATTATCATTTCCCCCATTTTCTAAATGATACACTGGAAGAACAGAGTGAATTCACAGATAGTAGTTAACACAATAGTTAAAACAGGCAATGGTAGGGTATGCACAGACACGGCTATTTTTATGATCATTGAAGAATTTCATGTTCTGTGGCGAATCATCAAGAAGACATTAAACTGTGCTCAGGATTCTTTGGTTCAGAAGACAGTGTGCTTGCTAAGAATCATTCATTTTTTTTTATACCTCAATGCAAGTGCACATGACAGTCAACTCAACAAGGCCTAGCAACAGATTTCTCAAGGTTAAGTTGAAATGATTTGTGTGTGTTTACTGTGGGCTGTAGTCATATCAGCAGAAGCAGGAGATGGCACTTGTAATACCAGAGAGAAAGGCTGCTGCCCAAAAAGTGCCATGGGAGCCTGTGATTAGAAGTTATTTGGAGCTAGCAAAGATTTTCAAATTGTTCAAAGGTAAAAATTTCCTAAAAGGATAACAAATGTATTCATGTAGATGAAGTAGAATAAAAATCAACACCAGAAAGTTTATGAGTCAGCCGATGTAGACCCTATCTCAGAGAACAGAGAAGGCAAAAACAACTTTTCTCCCCTGACTGTGGCTGTCATAGACGTATTAGTTACCTTTGTTGCTGTGGTAGAATGCATGGATGAGTCTACTTCTTTGGGTGGACTGTGAGAGGGAGAGGGAGAGGGAGAGGGAGAGGGAGAGGGAGAGGGAGAGGGAGAGGGGGAGGGAGAGGGGGAGGGGGGAGAGAGAGAGAGAGAGAGAGAGAGAGAGAGAGAGAGAGAGAGAGAGAGAGAGAGAGAGAGAGAGAGAGAAATTGGAAATGCAGCAGGGCTATGTATTTTCAAAGCCCTCCCCCAGTGATACACTTCCTAGAGCAAGGGCATAAGGATCTACATCCTACAGGTTACCCAGCTGTGAAACTTATGAGCTACATAAAAACTGGCAAGATGAACTCAGTGATTGAATAGTGGCATAAATGTTATAGGAGTAACCAAACTCCTTCTGATTGGATTTACAACCTGCTCCACAAAATGAAACTTGATACCATTAATTAGGTCAAATACTTGTGGCAGGTAATGTCATAGGCCCTAAGGGAATATGTAATATTGTTTTCTGATAAATGGAAATAGTAATAAACTGGCTCCTAAGATCTTATTTTTATGCCTATAGAAAATCACATCTGCCAACCCTCATCAGAGAATTTTCTTTTTTGGGGAGGGAGGAGGTTTATTTCATCTTACAGCTTGTAATATTTTTCTTTTTTATGATTAAGAATTTTTCTATTCATTTTACATACCAACCACAATTCCCCCTTTCCTCCCTCCTCCCACCCCCCAGCCTTACCTCCCAACCCACCCCCATTCCCACCTCCTCCAAGGCAAGGCCTCCCATGGGGAGTCAGCAGAGCCCGGTATATTCAGTTGAGGCAGGTCCAAGCTGGGGGATGAGAAGATGAGAGAATTTTCTTTTTGGAGTAGTTGGCAATTATTACAGAGACCTACAGTGGTCGAAGTGCAGAGAATAAGAGATGGTAGAGTGCCCAGCACTAAATGAGGCAGCTGTATTACATCCCACAAGACTGAGGGATCACTTCAGAGAATGGGGTAGAAAGATTCTATGAGCAAGAGACAATGGATGTCCATGCTGAATCAGTATTTGCTGGTTATGATAGTGCTCTTGTTCACGCGAACTCACAGCAGCTGTGACTGCAGGAACAAGACCTGCACAAGATCATCCCAGCCAAAAAAAGACACCAGCACAGATAAAGAAGGTGAGTCCCACCCTTAGCTGCTAAACAGGGGAACAGTCAGCTTCTTCAGGTATGTGGTCCCTGAGAGGATACCCATGCTCCAACAGATGGTCCTGCTGTAATGCACATATGGGTAGCACTATATTCACTCAGTGGATCGGGAAGAAGAAAGGTCACATGAAGTTGGGAGGGAAGATGTTGTGGGAGATTAGATGGGGGAGGAATTGCAGTGTAGTAAAAGGGTGTGAGTTTGATTAAAATGTACTATATGCATCCATAAAATTCTCAAACAGATAAGATTTTTATTGTCTTATGTAAAATTGGACTAGAAAATATCATATTGTGTAGACTGGACATTTATAAAGAAGTAATAAAAATTACACTTTTACTATAGACACATATGTTTATGTACTGCTATAGATATATAGTACACCTATATATTGCTATATACATATATACACACACATATATATGTATATGTATATGTATATATATGTATATAGTGTCATAGTTATTAATATCATTCAATCTGTGCTCCCCTTAGTTTTGTACTCATGTTTATTATCACAAAATTTTCTCATTTTCCTCAGATTCTACTTCTTCCTCCTGAAACTTGGCAGGAGAAGACTAATTCAGAACCTGATGACAGCCCGTGTACTTCGCCTTGGGAACTGCCCTTCTCTCTTCATCCATATTGTCCAGATGACGTGACCCCAACTCTAGCCTAGGATGTGGGGGAAAGCTCATAGCGATGCTTCACCTCTGGCTGCAGTTCCAGAAACTGGTACAGAAAGACAACAGATGCAGAAGTTGACTGCATATGGAACTTTGGTAGGAACTGTTACGCAGATCTTTTTGCTTAATTTCAGAGGACTGCTTTCTCTTAGAAGGAGGCGATGTTGGAAGTCCTAAAGCCTGAAACATTGAGGTGTCCTGTTTAAAAGATAGCTATAGCAAACAAAACTGTGTCAAAGGGCAGGAAACGATGACGCACCAAATATTTGCCTTGAGCCTCTGTTTCTAACCATGTCTGAAGCTACCCATTCCTTTGCTCAGTTTAATCAAGAAAAGTAAAATGTTTCTTTAAAAAGTATTGGCACAAGGGAATTTAATCTACTTTTTAGTCGATTACAAGTTTTATAAAGTCTAAATAGCTGGATATTGAGGTACATGCTTGTAATCCCAGAACCTGGGAGGCTGAGGATGGAGAGTATGAAAAATAGGAGGACAACCTGGACTTAAATCAAGACTTGGCCTCAAAACCTAAGCCCAAAATAAGCAACCAAGCAAAGTAAATAAAACAATAAACAATCAAATACAATAACAACAACATACTAAAATGTGGATATATATTCAGACTCCCTTAATTTCTGTCTGTCTCTATGTATGTATGTCTTGCTCTCTCTGTCTCTGTCTCTCTCTCTCCTTCTTGTCTCACTCTCCTCCATGTTTCTCTTTCCAAGTAGGTTTCTGTGTTTGATGTACTATTTGACTTGTAGCTCCTTCTTTCTTACCTGCGGTGGCCTTTACCTACTTTTTCATGGGGGATATATATCAAAGATTCCTTATACATTCCCGAAGGAATGCATGGAATACTACTTTCCTGAAGGAAAGTATAGAATAGTACATGCATTATGAATTTTTTTTTTTTTTTTTTTTTTTTTTTAAAGCACCTAGACCAGTTTATTTTACTCTTCAGCATTCAAAGAAATGTGATCTGCAAAAAACCTGGATTACAAAGGCCTTTCTTTTACTTCTTTACAAACTACTGTTACTAATGAAAATTTACATGCCTCAACTTTTTATCCCTCCCCCCCACTTCACAAAAAAACCTCCACTTTTAACACAGGGTGATTGGTGAACCAGCTTTACAAATACACAAACATTAATAACCAACACTTTTGCAGGAAAAGACAGGAAAACATCTAAGAGAAAAGAATCAGTCATCTTCCATTGAATATCTTGGTTGATGACAAGTTGTTTAATTCACCTATCAGGTCATCACTGAAAATTGAGAACATTTCCTTTCTGGGACACCTAAAGGCTTTGATGATCCTCTCTGATTCCTGGCTATTGCTCAAGTATCAGTTTATAATCTCAGTATTTTATAGAAAGGAACTTGGCTTAAAAAAAAAAAAAAAAAAAGCTGCACAACAACACAGACTCGAAGTTTGGAAAAGCCAGCTTGGAGCACCCAAGCTCCAAACTGCCTATAAATCTTGGAATACACTTAATCCACTTTTTACCTAGTAAAGTTAGAAGGTAGTAAGAAATGATGTATGTGTGCAAAAATTCCTGTCCACATGGTGGGCATCCCACAGAAAACAAGTGATTTAAGGTTAAGCAGGAATATCTGGAAAACATACAACTTGGCACAGCAAGTGCTTAGTAATATTGACAGCCTTTAATATACATGGAAACCACAGTAGACAGACTAAAACAATTTACTCTAAGCTACCCAAACCACAGGGGCCCTTTCTATTTTACCACACTTAAAACTTAAGAGCTGTCAAGTACTATTACTGTACTTATAAATGAACAAGGTTATATTCCCGCAAATGAAACTCTTAAAACTCAAAATAGTACAATTAACAAAACAAAATCCTCACGAGAACACACAATTTCTCTCCCTTAAGCTCAATTTGAAAGGAAATGGAGAGGGGGAATAGAGAACAAAACACCCATGAACTGCACAGATAATTGTTAAATACACAGAAACTCTATCTTTAAAACCAATCCAATGCTAATGATTTTGTAATGGTATAAAATACATTTAGTCATTTATAATCTTGAAATAAACGCTAAATTCAGTTTTTATCAGTTTTTATTGTGTCCTTGAAAATAAAACTATAAAAGCATTTCCAACTTGATTCAAAATAAAAACAGCAACAAAAATGAAGCCAAAATTTAAAATTCTCACCTGGTACCTGCTGCCTTTTTAAGTTTGGGCAGGCTGAAAAAAGTTTGTTTTTAACATAGATAAAATAACCTTCATTTTTACCTCCCTTCATTTATGTGTAATCCTACTACATTTTATAAATTGTTATAAAGGCTTTACACTGTTTCCAGATTTCAGAATTTGACATTGTTTTAAATATGTGGCAAAAATACAACAAAAATTCAACTGTGATGGAATCAATGTTATGATAAACAAGTTAATATCCTAACAAGGAACCAAGGAATCTAAAACATTTTGCGACACTATAAAGTTATTAACTATACACAGAATATGTCCCCTATAAAATGTACAAGTAGATCACTAAAAAGTCTAACCTGGTAAACATTTTTTTTTCCAATACAGAATATACTAAGTCCATTGGGGTAACAGCTGTCTGCCTCAAAATAATCTAATTATAGCACCCAGGGTCTGTTTTAATGCAAAGTTAAATGCTTGTTATTTGGGGGATTATCTATTTGTTTGACTGAGCCAGAAGTTAACAATTTAGTATTAGTCTAGTATATTAATCACTGCACAATAAATCTGCTTATCACAGGTTTTCTTCATTATTTGTAGTCATGGGATACAAACACTAGATAATTTTAAATGGCAGACAACCATAAAATTACTTATCTCTGATAGTGTATTGTTTTGTAATTACATTAGTATATGAATGGTATGAAATATCGCAATACACCTCAAGCCATACTGTAATGATTCACTAGATTGTGCTCAGTAGGTACTTACTAAGTAAGTAACTATTCTCCAATTATCCAGTATAATGTTTTGCCCACAGTAAAGGTTCATTCAATAAATGTCTGTTGAACATACTGTTTGGTCAAGAGGTGAGGAAGAGATGGGCCCTCATAGTTGGATGTCAAGTATAAGTGGAATTAACCTGGGAAGGAGTGGTTAGATGTAAACTGCACATGGTATACAAGTAAATAAACTCAGATGCCAACAAAACAAACAGTTAAGCAGAAAATACTGGCACTGGAATAAACAAAGGCAAGACCTGCCAACACTGGCATAAGTGGAACTGACTTTTAAGAGATAATCAAGAAAAACTTTATATTGGACCATACCTTTACCATCCAATTTAGTTTGAGACAGACCAAGAGAGGCACTGTTAGAGACTATGGCTGTCTTCCTTGATATTCAGACATCCTAGTTTCCAATAACTTATCATGGATCTGCCACCCATGAGTCAATATACCTGTTCATATTTAGGGATTAGTTTCCACAAGTACAAAGTTGAATTTCCTTTTATTTGTCCTAAAATGCTTACTTTCAAACTTGAAGGGACTTCAATTATTCCATGTAGTTTTCGATAATTCTTTTATCTTTTCAGACCAGAGTCAAAATATTCGTACAGTATTCATACTGCAGCACCTTCCACCCACCCTTTGGTCGCTTGAACTGCCCTTCTTTGGTTCTTTTTTCCGCTTTCAGATCTTTCTTGAAGTGTAGTAAGCAGAACTGTACTGGGTATTCCAGCTGCAGTTTGGTCTATCATTGTCGGAATGGCTTCGGCTACGCCGTGGTCTTCCAGTCGGTCTACTGTTTCTAGGACTGTAAGATCTCCTATAGTTGTAATCAAAAGAGCGACTCCTTGATCTCCTCCTTTCATAACTTCGGCTTCGAGAACGTCTATATCGATCATAATCATCATATCGTGAAGAGCTGTATACATTCCTCCCTTCCTTGGCTTTCATTTGATTTGGTGTCTTGCGATCCCCTTGTGCAAACTGTATTTCAATTTGACGTCCACAAATCCATTTTCTGTCCAAATTATGTAAAGCATCTTCAGCATCACGAACATCCTCAAATTGAACATATGCAAATCCTCTTGGCCGTCGAGTGTAGAAATCAAGTGGAACATAAACATCTACTATTGGACCATAACGACCAAATTCCCGACGTAAATCTTCCGACCTGGTGTCGTCGGCCACGTTCCTGACGAACAGAGACGTGTTGGGGGGTCGCAGGTAGCGGGACATGACGGCGGCGGGAGGCTGGGCCAGCGGCACTAACGGGCTCGGCAAACCGTCCGCGGCTCCGGCGGCGGCTCACATCCACTCACACACTCTCCCAGAGCCAGAGCGCATTATGAATTTTTTCTGTGCACAATCACAATAAGGTTTATAGGTTTATTTGGTTAGTTAACTTTTTAAAGCAATGCAGTGTCATGTGGTACAAATTGGTCTAGCAATCACAATGTAGGGAAAGATGATCTTGATTTCCTCAGCCTCCTCCCTCCACCTTCCAAGTGCTAGGATTATAGACATGTCTCATCATACCTCACACTTTAGTTTACTAAGGAAGCATAGTAAAATATTAGCATTAATGATTAATAGTAAAATGGATCAATTATAATAGTATAGTATAATATATGTTATTTAGAATATATGAATTATTTATTTTTGTAAACTATTTAATATTTTTGGATAGTAGTTGTCTATGTCCCACTGAAACTGTGAAAATAAAACTTACATATTTGAGGATACTACTGGATTCTGTGTTGCTCATGAATCCTACACGGCAGTCCTTTGTTGAATCTAGTCTTTTGCTGATGCCTTCCTGGTGTTTCTTCTTCTGAGGACAAGTGTTAAGACACCATTTGATGATCTCTATATAAAGAGTTTTGTCATCAAGACATATTTGGTTTCTGAAGAATGATGTCCAAGCACTTGGTAAGCATCAAAATGTATTTGCTGAATAAACCCATGCTATGGGATAATGCTCTGTACACTGTAAAGATTTGTCACTTGAATTGGCTTAATAAAGCACTGGTTGGCCAGTAACCAGTCAGGAAGTATAGATGGGGCAACCAGACTAGGAGAATTCTGAGGAGAGGAAGGGTCGAGTAGGGAATCACCAGCCAGATGGAGAGTAAGGAAGATAAGAATGCTGTATTGAGAAAAGGTACCATGTCATGTGACTAAATATAGGTAAAAATTATGGGTTAATTTAAGTGTAAGCACTTGTTAGTAATAAGCCTGAGTTACTGGCCAAGCGTTTATTTATAAGTAATATTAAGCCTCTGAGTCAATTATTTGGGAAGTGGTTGCGGAATTGGGTTGGACAAAAAAATCTCAGTCTACAAACTGATCTTAGCTAACACACCCTATAAACCAGCCCTAGTCCAACGGCATTCTAGAGTTCTGAGAAAAATGAATAATTTCCACCAGTCCTGATTTATGTCATAGAATAGATTAGGCAAGGAGAGGAAGTGAACTGATTAATCTTGCCTTCCAAGCATAGTTAATTTTGATGATGGCTGTTAATCACTTGCTGCTGTTTTGATGGTAATATCAGATATGTCTCGTGCCTTCATGACTTTAGGCCTTCCTACTAATGTTCTAAAAACAAAACAATAGATATCAAATGATGGCAGATATTTCTGTATCTTTCTGTAAAATTCCCTTACCATTTCACTAAGTTTTAAATGTTTATAAAGCTCTGGGAAGGTTATGCACAAGAAAGGTGGCCACACCTTTGACATTGCAGTACTGTTGTCCTCTGTATTTCATTTGGTCCCCCATGTCAGATGGCCCCATGCTCACTGCAGATTCTGCTCTCACAGAGACCTCCAAGAGCCCATGTCCTCTTTATCTTCCTTTCTTCCTCCTGCTGACTGTGTTTACATCCTTGCTTTTTCAGAATTTTCCTCACTTACCTTCACATAATCCCAACAATGTGATGGCTTTGTACCTTCAACCTGGAGTTGTAGCTTAATTTGTTCTTTAATTTGTTCCCAAATCCCTTTGTCCATCCATTTAATTTCTAGGTATAGTTTGATTTTTAATATTAAAATTCCTTCAAATCTTTAATCTCATTCCCTAATCCTCATCTTTGCCATAATCTCACTTCCTTTTAAAAAATGATAGAGGCCATCAAGTTTGTCACAGCAATGTTGATCTTCTTTAACCATAAATCCAAACTTTGTTCTTATCTTTCTTCCTATTTCCTGTCTGTGTGCAGTGGAGATATGCCTTTCCTTCTTTCAGTGGGTGGCTCCAATTAATTTCTGCCTCAAACCCTCAGTTCACTCACCATTTTCACGAGGTAGAGCATTGCTATTCCTTCTATCTCTAGACCTTTCTCCTGTAATTTGCGAATTATTTCACCTCTCCTGTCCCTTTCACTGTTTACAAAATTTTGAGTTTAGAATTGGAAACCATTCTCTCTTCATAATCATATACTCTGATATTAAGCCATTGTTGAGGTAGCTTTAAGGTTTTGAATATCCTGAAATTATCTTTTCAAATCTGTAGATGAGAACTGTTTGTCGCCCTGGTGTCAACATTCTCTGTTTCTTATTTATACCACCCAAATGTTGTGTCTTTGTTGTTGGTGTTGTTTTTGTTTTTTGTTTTGTTTTTTTTTTCGACACAGGGTTTCTCTGTGTATCTTTGCGCCTTTCCTGGAACTCGCTCTGTAGACCAGGCTGGCCTCGAACTCACAGAGATCTGCCTGCCTCTGCCTCCCAAGTGCTGGGATTAAAGGCAGGCACCACCACCACCCAGCTGTTTTTGTTTTTTTATCATCAGACTCTGCTTACAAGTAGGTAATTGTCACATTACATCTTCTTGATGGTATTATACCCTATTATGAGAGTCACAAATGAAATCATTGCTTCAGATTATGCCTGTAATGCTTAAACCAGGAAAATCTCTGAGCTTCACAGCTGGGCATTCAAGGTAGCAACCACAGTTTCACCTACTTTTTTGATTGTTGTTCTACCATATCTTCTTCTCTATACAAACTAATCTCTTCATCTTATTAAAATAGCAATTACAGTTAGATATATTAAAAATATCTTCTTGGCCTTTACATCAGCTAAAATGATTGGGAAAAGTTATTTTGGGAAGCTGCCATGATCTGGTGTTAAAACTCCCAAGCATCTGTGACAAATGCAAAAATAATTAAGCCAGCCCTGCTTATTTTCAAGGTTCTTTTTCCATTATAGTGAAAACCAATGTCATTTACTTACACATAAAATAATCCTGGCAAATTAGTGTGTGCCAGGAAATATATGAAGTGGGCAGGGAAGGATTGAGGTTGGCATTGGTAGCACCAAAAGGGAAAAGAATTTTGTGCATAGAAGGACCTCAAGTTGACCCACACATTCAGTTGTTAAACTCAACTTCAGTTTATAACCCCAAACTTCAACTAATTTGAATAGAAGAAGAATTTACATCAGCTAATTAGAATACTTTTTCTCGGAGGTAGTAAGTAAATGTTTTGCTAGCATTCTTAAAATCATACCAAATTCACCTCCCTAATTTGGGTGGTTACCTCAACATAGAGAAACTTAACTGGGAATATGCCTCCATCAGATTGGCCTTTGTGGTAGCTGATTGGAAATTTAAGTTCAAAGAAATTTTGATGTAGGAGGAAGCAAAACTTCTCTGTAAAACTGTATTGATTAGTCCTTGGAGGAGGTTGCCTATATAAAAAATTATTTTTATTTTCTTTGACTACTTGATTTCCAAATTATCTGGCAAATTATTGCACCGAATGACACAATACTTGTTCACTACAATGCTTTCTTCAAGTATTTATCTTTTGTTGCTTATTTTAACTTAGAACCTACAATTCCCACAGTGAGTACTGAGTTTCTTTTTGGTCAAGTGAAGTCCCTTACTCTAGGCCAGTGATTCTCAAACTTCCTAATGCTGTGATCCTTTAATACCATTCCCCATGTTGTTGTGACCCCCTCTACTTCATAAACGTAATTTTGCTATTGTTATGAATTGTAATGTATATATTTTTGGAGATAGAAGTTTGCCAAAGGCAAAGGTTGCTTTTGAAGGGGGTATTGTTCCTCATTTCTCCCTACATTCTGATAATATAGCTACGTCTGACTTCTGATTCCTTGCTGATCATATCATAGATTTTATGCCTTGAACTGAGCTGTTTGGGATTCTATCAGCTTCCCACCTACCTATTAATTTACTCTATCCTGTAGAAATCCTAAAGTATCCTAGTTCACCCACCTTTTATGATCACCCCAGCAGGGAACTCCCTTCACATAATAGAAGTCTTTGGTCTTGGCACTATCCTAACATCCCTTGAACTTGGAAAAAGGAAACACTGTTGCTCTTAGAATCTTAGCTCTTTGATGGGAAAGAGTATGTGCTATCACAACTACATGTTCAAGTGTTTCCAAATACTAGATATTTAATAAATACACATAGAATGACATAACAAGGGGATCACTTTTGTATCTCATTGGTATTTAACTAAGAAACCAGAATCTTCAGAGAAGAGGATCCTTGGACATGAATGAATTCCCTTTTTGTTCTTTTTTTTTTAAGCTGCTTTCCTTTTCTCTAAATCATTCTAAATTTACTGTCTCTGTTTCTGTACATCTCATTAATCTTAAGTGTAGCATATTTCTGTTTCAGAATCTTCAAATTTATGGGAGGTTGTTAGGAAGATGGCAAAGTGCTGCAGATAGGGAATTCTGACAGTATCTGAACGATTAGATGTTAGGTATGAACAGATTAAATTTAATGCTTTCCCTCACCTTTATCTTTTGTAAATTCCTTTTTTGGGGCCATGTGTGGTGATATTTTAATTGTGCTGAAATGTGATTTTATTATGTATGTTGATAAATAAAGTTTGCCTGGAGATCAGAGGTCATAGCGAGCCAGGGACAGCAGTCAGACGGTGGTAGGCCATGCACGTAATCCGATCACATGGCAGGCAGAGTCTCTGTGTGGTCAAGGACACAGCCAAGCATTGTGACCTTTGAGTCTTTAATCCCAGTGCCAACCATAGAGACCAGGAGGTCTGTATAGACAGGCAGTGATGACCAAGTCATGTGGCTGGGCTTAGAGCCAATGAGAAGGCAGAACAGGAAAGCAATAAAACACAAGACACACAGGAAGAAGGTCTCTGTCTCAGGGGAAGGATGACAGTGAATGGTAAGCTGAAGGGAGTCGTGGCTCTTGCTCTGATCTCTGAGGCTTTAACTCTGTGTTTGGCTCTGTGTTTCTTATTTAATAAGACCATTTAGAATTTCATCTACAGGCATGTTTTTCTTCCTTCTGAAATTCTCTGTGATCTTGACATCCTATCTAGTGGGATCT